AGCTATTCGTGCATTTTAATACTAACGGCCGCCATCCATTTGCGTTATTTTCCTTCGTCACATTGAAATTTTACGCGTTTTAGCTGAAAAATTTTTTTTTTGAGTCATCTATTGCGACCGTCCAGGAAAAACCAGTCTGCGTAACCGTATTACATTTAGTTGTCATGGAAATTTTTTGTCGCGCACAAGCAACGCAACGGAGATGGCATGCATCGTCTTGTATCCCTTGATTTTTCAGTGCTAGATCTCCTGCGTAATTCGCGATTCGGCATAAAATAAGTATTGGGCCTCGGACAAGATCATAACAAAGTAAATATATAGCTCCATATATATATAACTGTCGCTTTCCAAAATTTAAATCTCTTCAAGATTTTGAACCGCATAGCGGGCGTAGGCCGAGCTTTGAGAAACTGCAAATATATCAAGTATGACAATTTATAATTGTAGGTCGCCTATAAAAAGTTAGGTAATCCACTCTATTGAGTATCGCTGGCATAACTCTGGTAGGTTAGAAATTGAAGCGCTGGGCGATTTATTATTCACTTGAAATCATCCCAAAAACTCGATAGCAACTGTAGCAAGGAAATCATTCAGATTCTTCCCTATGGCTTCCAATTTTTTTGTTTTGGTCAAATATCTGTAACTTCTCACGAAAACGATATATAAATTGATCAATTTTTAATACCCTTTGATCTCGGAATTTTTTTTATTGTACTACGTCAGATTTGTACCGTAGTTAACCGTTGTGAACGAAAAAATATATGCTTAATCGAAAAAAATTTACGATAATTCAAGTGCCAAGTTCGGCTCGGAAGGCCATTCCGAAGCAAAAAAATAACGATTAAAATAAATCTCAATTCAACCATAGAGTATTTAATGCAGTTTAGTGGTTGTTCTGCATTTCGCCGATTTGGGTGTTGCCACGTCTCGCCCAAGTCGGAAGTTTTGCATTGTTTTGCTTTGAATGAGTGATTTCCTATCGCTATATTTAACTGCTGAAAGATAAAATCGCGTTCAATCCCGCAACTAAAACTCGAATCATACAATATGTCGTTGGGAAGATTTTTATTTTTTGATTTATTCAAACTATCGATCGCTGTTTGCGCTTAGTGGAGTTCTGAGACACGAACGCTCATTGATTCAAGTCTGGCGCATGGATTACGTTTATTGACGCTTCATTCACCATGGCTATATCCCATCCCACACGGACTAATTTCAGTCAAATAGTCTGATTTGCAACCGATGTGTTTGTTGTGGAGTAAACGTTTCTAAAAAAAACGAGGAAACTTTTAAAAAAATCTGTCCGCATTAAGTAGGACAAAACGTTACATTTTTCAGACATTTTAATTATTTGAAAAAGCTAAAACAAAATGGTAATACGCTTTCAAACTTATCCCAGATAACCGATGATGGTTTACTTACGGAAGAGAAAATTCAAGCCTTCTGTTATTAGCTAAAAAGTAACACTTCTTCAGCAAAGGAAGTTCTGAAGAATCTTTCACTGAAACTTCTTCTCAGCACAACAACAACATTTACATATTCCCGTTCCAATTTATTTTATTATTGCTGGTATTCATACTTCAAGCTGCCCATATGTTACCAGGCTATTTCTTCAAACCGTCTCGTTATTCATCACTAACGCCTTCCGAGCAAAATATCTCTTTCACGTAGCATCCATTTGCGACATTTCCCTCGCTACCTAAAAATTTTACGCGTTTTGGCTGAAACAAATTTTTCCTGAGCCACCCACTCATTGCGACTGTGCAGGAGAAACCAGTCTGCGTAATTATTATAAATTTTGCCGGCATGGGAATTTTGTGTTGCGCCCAAGCAACGCAGCGGAAATGGCATGTATCGCCTTGTATCACTTGATGTTTCATTGCCATGTCTCCTGCGTAATTCGTGAGAATATTCAGCATAAAATAATTAATTATTGATCGTCGGACAATATCATACCAAAGTAAATATATAGCTCCATAAATATATAACTGTGGCCTAAACGGTTCCTATAAAATTTAAATAATAACCGCACACCGGGCATAGGCCATGCTTTGAGAAACTGCAAATATATCACGACCATTTATAATTGTAGATCGCTTATAGAAGACAAATGAATGTATTACACTATTTCGGTTATCCCTGAAAAAACCCCGGTTAGATATTATAACACTGGGCGATTTATTATTAAGTCATTCCAAAAAGTTGAGAGAAGTTTTCGTACGGAATGAAATCATTGAGGTTCTTCCCTATGGCTTTCGAATGTTTTTGTTCTGGTCAAGAATCTGTATCTTTTCACGAAAACGAGAAATTGATCAATTTCTAATACCCTTTGACCTCGGGAAATTTTTGCAGTTCCATTGATAACTGTGCTTGCCAGATTTGTACCGCTGTGGTGGAAAAAATTAAACGGATAGAACGACATACAATAATTTAGGTGCCGAGTTTTGTTTGGGAGGTTTGTCCAAGGCTGAGAAATATACCAAAATCATAACCTTCTATCGAAATATTTAACTCTTTGAACCCGCTATAGCGGCTTTCCTAGAGAACGTATTCTGACCCTGAAAGCCGCTTTAGCGGCTTTGGCACCCCGTATGAGGTATGCAACTTTGAAACCCTCATATCTCGCGAACAATATATTATATTTAGACAAGTTTTACATAGTGAAATATGAATATGATACGGGACTAAGTATAATTTCAAAATTAAGATGAAATATTGTGATCATTTTATGAAAGTTGGCCAAATTGAAAAGCTTAAAAAATTTCTGAAAAACTCCTAAATCAAATTGAAAAAAATTCAATTTGTTTTCGATTTAGCCTAGTACATTATCGACTACATTTTTAGAAATTGAAGATAGTTTTCCAATGATACCATTAGATAAAAAATTATGTTGCACCATTCAAATTTTATAAGCATTTTTATTAATGATTTTCTTTGTCGCAAGATCGAGGCTACGTCAAGGTGACGTAAATAACGACCTTACGCCGTTACGCAGCGACGTTACGCAATTACGTCGGCACGTAGCACGTTTACGTTCCATACGAAAAACACTTTTCTCCGCATGTTCGTAATGTCCTTCACGTAAGTTCGTACTCGTGAAGCGACCAACGACTTGTAAACGATACACGGGGGAATTTACGCATTACATTCAGCCTCAAAATCTACTCGACTAGAACACACAATATGTAGTGTTATTGCCGTTTAATTGCATAAAAATATGAAAAACAGTAATGGCAAAAAATAGCAAAATTTGTCTGACTAACAACACACAGTATGCACTGTTATTGCCGTTTTAATTGCATAAAGATACAAAAAATAGGAATAGCAAAAATACGGATTTCTAAAAACGGAATGATGGAACATATCGATTGATGTATTGTTTAGCGCCAATACTAGACTTTATTGTGCCAGCTTTTCTTCTTCCGATGGATGAATACTATCCAATATTTCCTCGGGAAAAGCTTTCGTTTTAAATCCATTGTAAATATAGCGATATGAAGAATGTAGCGTGTATGCAGTAATTTCGAAAATCGAATGTGGCCGCAAAATGTAAAACACTGACAAGGTGAGCAGCTACTGGTGCCACCATCTCTTCCACGTTCCCGTTATCAGTTTTTTTTTTCAATTTTCATGATATCCAACGATGATGAATTAGCCTTGATGTTTTCGGCGGAACCTCATAAATGCATGAGGATCAAATATTTCACTTCGGCCATTCATTTGCGTCTCATATTCAGATAATTAACGTATATAAAATGGCCCAATCTGAACTCAAGCTGTGAACGACCAGATGCGCAATTGTTATCACGACAATGTCGTCGTCGCCCGGCGCTCCAGAAGTATGTGTACCAATACGGAGGTAACTAATTTTGTTCGTCTACTGTACATCAAGTTGTGTACAGGGACTGATTACTATGGGCAGGGGGTGTATTCAATTGAGTAACACAGAAAGTCCCCAAACTTGTATTAGAACAAAAATAAGGAAATTCGGAATAAAATTATGGCCTAACCCTAACCTAGTACACATGCTACGGGAGTACCACAAACGGCATCGCTTACTTTACAGACATATCCTATAAATTGAATAAACTGGATTTTTCTCCTCGTGAAGGTGGAATCTATCCGATAAAAGTGGAATCTTCACTGTCTGGTTTCAATAATAATCTCATCGTGTATTGTGAAATTTAACTAGACGACAATTTTTCCGATTTTCTAGCTTGCAATTACGTGATACCAGTGGCAGACACATTTGTAGTGTTGATGTAGACACGTATTTCAATCGGAAGTTCCAGAATAAAAAATTTACCCATTTACAAACATGGAATTCGTGAGGTGGAACATCACATTGGAAAGCGATTTTGAACTCAAACTGAAGTAAGAGAGAGAGAGAGAGAGAGAGAGAGAGAGAGAGAGAGAGAGAGAGAGAGAGAGAGAGAGAGAGAGAGAGAGAGAGAGAGGGTGAGAGAGAGAGAGAGAGAGAGAGAGAGAGAGGGAGAGAGAGTTATTGTTTTGTCAACCAGAAAACAAACGAAAAAATATATACAATATACACAAAGGTAATTCGGTATAGACTGGAGGAAGCGATACGACCATATAAGGTCATCAGAGTCAGCTCCCCCCAAATTCACTATTGAGATTCGCAGTTAAACGTATGCAGTTTGTAACTGGCTCACTCAGAAAAGTATTTGTCCACCCATGTGTTAGCATGTGTCAAGTTATAGTTTATGTGTGACGTAGCCAAAATTAGACCGTACTAATGTGACGCAAATTGAAATTGTTCAATCATCGGCTCGTGTTCGAGGTGATCTAGTTGTGCTTGTGAAGTAGATGGAGGTAAGATTGAGCTCACTTATATGCCGGCCCTAACCCAAGATATTCATAGATTGGTAGGCGTGGTCATTTTACGCATGAGTAAATTATGCCTTTTGGTTCAAGTCCTTTTCTTTTGAATTCCCAAAAACTGTAAAAAAACACTAACAAAGAAAGCAATAAAATGATTCAATGGATTTTTATTATCATGTTTGGTTATATACGAAAATCACATGGGCTGAGGCAGCTTTAAATTTTATTTGATGGGATAAAGGTTTCTATAGACAAGGATATAATGCAAAAGTAATGAAATAATAGAAGTAAGTTGAAATAAGACAAAATTCAATTATTTGTGGTTCATATCATTCAATTCGTCAACAACATTCTGTCAGGTTTTTAGCTGGTTTTATATTTCGCAGATGACACCGGCCGTATCCGCGGTTGGTGGTGTATTGTAAATTCCCTGACTTCGATTTGGGATGTTATCGATTCGAAGAGCAACATTCGTCCGCCATGTTGTGTTCTTTGGAAAAGTGGGATTCCAGACTTCTGTTTCTATAATGAATGGTCCTCCATTGGACAGCAAAAGCTGATTGTTCTATAAACATTGATACAACTGACATATTAGATGAAAAACAAAAGTATTTACTACTAGTAATGAGCTTCATAGTAAACATAATAGGAATTAAGAGCCAAATACGATAGGTAACGCTATGATCGTGTGGTAAATACATAAATATGGGTGAAAACTAAAAACCACTGAAAATATCACAAATTCTGAAATACTTTAAATCACAAAAATTTCAACCAGGCGGCAACGACTTTACAATATATTTGAAATCATATTTATGTTCTATACATACAAGGTGTCCAAAAAGTTTCGCCCGATCATAAAGTCTTTATAATCAAATGGTATTTTTTTTTTAATTTTAAAAAAGATTTATAGTCAACCTGTTTCTAATTAGATGTTATAAATGTTGGATGTTGTAGTCCCCATTTATCATACAACCACATCTATTCAAATTTGCAATTAGTAAGGTAATGAAATCTGGCGGAACTTTTTGGACACCCTGTATATATATTTTTAATCTCTTAATAAATCATAATGCATCGTTAACCTATACTTAGCACCATTCGATAATTAAATACTGCTTTGAACCAACCTTGTTTAATAGGTTTACCAAAATGAGTCAGACACCGCTTAGATTTCAGTTGGAGACGTACTAAACTGACCTTATACTCCAACCCTGTCCAGATGTGTGCCGATTCCTCACCAACAGGGATCAGTGAGCGTAGGTAAGGGAGCACCAACTGATAATGCGCCAAGTCGTAAATATTTGCGGGTATTCCGTAGTTCATTGATTTGCAAATTGGTTCGGCATCAACGAAGGTAACATTTGTTACATTATACAAGACTGATCGGAAGCATTTCGAATCGTAAATGACGCCACATTCATCTAAAAATAACATTATGGTTGTCTTCGAATATTTTATATTAAAACTGTCTTCAGAAAATGACGTCTTTGAATCTGGGATTCAAATGTTGGCGATTTGTTTATTTGATGACAGAAGAAATGTACTCTATTAACTCCCTTGAGAGAAAAGCCGATGGGACAAACTAGGAACGGGGGGCATAGTTGATGGGCGAAATCGAACCCACCAGTGCTTGGGTTAATTACCCAACGACGGTAATGGTCGAAATATTGAGTAAATTATATCTTGATTTAAATATATTCTTAACGCTTTGATGAGTGTGGCATATTTATAGTCGATTATCAAATCATCAAACATCGATATAAATTACTCTCAGCTGTTTTCTTTTCAACAAGACTCTTTTTTATCAGTCTGGCGATTTCTAAAAGAAAATGGATATATTTTAGTTTTGTGTAGAGTCAGGCATTTAAAACCAGTTTTCGTCATATTGTAATGTCTCAATTTTTGCATTGATAGATTATGTAACTTTGCCCGCCCTAATAGGGCATCACTATGAAAACGGTGTCAATAATATTTTTGCAAAGTATAATTAGAATACCGTTACAAGGTTTGAGTCGCAAAGATATTCGTGATTTAGTGTTGCCAACTTTCTTTCCTAAAGCCAAATCGTAACCAGTGGAAAGTTTACCAGTAGGAAAAAAATTTCAACCATTTTTTAATTATGAATTAAAAGACCTATTTGCTTACTGTTACGGATAAATATTTTGAGCGCATTATAAATCATTGGTTAAGGCGAACTCACCGGATCCATCGTTTTTCTGTGAAATAAATACAGAATGCATATGATTAATAAAGTGAATATAACACGTAAGTTGAATTAGATTATTTGAGTTGCGTGACACGCAGAAGTCGGATTTAAAACTGTTTAGATAATATAAAATACAAGCTTAGAGTCTTTCCGATATTACTAGCTCTAAAAATATCAGTAACTGCATCCCCAAAGCCTCGTTTGGAGTCGAAGTGTGCAAACACGTGATAAAAATAAGCTTTACCTCGCAATCTCCAACTTGGACAAGTTTCCCCTTCACGATCTTGGAAACGCAGGTTCCAGCTGTCAAAAATATAAATTGAAGTTAAATATAACGACATCTTGTGCGACATTGGTTGATTGTTTTCTTTTTGACATAATTCTGAAATCACCTATATTTTTGAATTCATGGTACCGGAAGACAAGGATGGATGTAGACAAAGATTGCCAGCGATTAAATATTGCAAAACTCAAATAATTGCATCCCAAACAAATCTTACCAGGTAACTTTTGCTCCGCAGGCAAGACACATGTGAAAGAGACGAAGAAAATTATTTTGACAAAGTCCATGTTGGATTGTAGAGAGATTTGATAACACAACTAACGGCTTAATTATAAAGTAAATATCTGTAAAAATATTCAAAGGTATTATATGTTCACTATCTTGTAACCGCTCACTTTTGACAAGTACACTATTTTCGGCTATTCATGACCCCTTTTGAGATACAAACCGAAAGCAGATACCTTATGGCTTAAGCAACATCTATGAATAACAAAATATTAAAAAATGTAGTTATTGAAAAATTTAAACTATGATACAAAAGCAAATGATTATCAAAATGTACACCTCGGTGTCCCGATTATGAGTTAGAGCAGACCTTTACGTACACATATAAATATAACAGTTTAATCCGATGCTGACATCAGTAAGGTGTCATTTTTGACAATTACACTTATTTGGCCTTTCATGATATAGTTGACGATACATGTCTAAAATCACATATGCAACATCCAACTACTATTGCTGTATAAGACTAACTTCACCCATATTCTAAACCAGCCAATAAAAACCGGTCGACAGGCCCTTGCAAAATCAGCGAGCGCGCTACACGCGATAAGGCTGCAAATGATCACGTGTTTGTGTGTGCTAGATCAAGAATATATAAAAAAAAAAAAACGCGATAAGGCTGCAAATGATCCCGTGTTTGTGTGTGCTAGATCAAGAATATATAGAAAAAAAAAAACGCGATAAGGCTGCAAATGATCACGTGTTTGTGTGTGCTAGATCAAGAATATATAAAAAAAAAACGCCCGCATAACGCAGCATCCTACCTTTATTCACTTATAATATTTATGCAGTTGATGGCAGTTCATATTTGCGTGGTGTGGTGTTTTGTTTAACGCCACTTCATGTGCATCATATGAAACCAACTATGATGAAACTATTTTTATCGCACCCTGTTACCCTGTTCTGTATTTATAAATCTAGAATGGTCAAAACGGATTTCTTCCGCAACAACTAGAGCTTATTTGTTCACTTTTATATTAGTGCAGTTTAGGGCTGCCTTGTGCAACAACAAAACTCTCTGCAATAGGGCAATTGCGAACAATTTTGATAACAGTTTAAATTTTTTGTTGAAATCTTTTACTATTTTACTATTTATAACATAGAATAGAAAAGACTTTTGAATCCCGAAACAACCAAACTGGATTCACCCAGTATAACAGCGGAGTTGCGGGTAATTCTTATAATAGTTTAGCGCGGTATTACATCGTGTTATGTCTATGAATATAAAACTTTATTCAGTTAAAATCTTCAAAAAGCGATAAATTACTTCGAGAGATTTTTTTTTTGCAAAATCGGAAATTCTTGCTTGAGAAGCTAGTATTTATAACGAGGCCAAAAATCTTCTCGTTAACTGCAAGTGTTCTTAGTTTTGAATCGGGCATATCAAATACACGAAGTCGGGTAACTTCAAATCTGCAATAAACAATCTGCTCCGTACAGAAACAAATGATCACAAGCGTGTCGATTATGAACTAGAGCCGTGATTACAGCAAGGCAGTTATGTACACACATGAACATTTACAGCTTATTCTAAAGTCAGCATCAGCAGGACTTAATTTTTGATGAATACACTTTTTGACTATTTATGATATAGCTTATGATACGACTGTTGTTGTACGAAACTGCTTTCACCCAGATTCCAAACCACCCATTAAAAACAGGTAGGCAGGCAAAATCACGAGTGCGCTATACGCGAATGACGATGGCGAGTGATCAAGTATTTGCGTGTGCATCTAAAACATGAAATATACAAAATACACCCGCATGACTTTATTCGCTTAATATATTTATGCAGTTGAGAGAATTTGATATTTTCGTGCTTTATTGTTATTTAACGTCACTTCCTGTGTATTATATTAAACCAACTAATGAAAACACTATTTTGATTGCACCCTATTACCCTGTGCTGCATTTTTAAATTTGAGTCCGGATCACGTGACTGGTGGTGTTGAGAGATCAGATAGCAGCTTTATCTGTGCTAGATCTAGAATATATATAAAAAACGACCGCATGGTGACGCTGCATCCAACATTCATTCACTTGTTATAAAGTGCAGTTGAAGGCAGTTTATATTCTCGTGTGATGTTTTGATTCACGTCATTTCTTGTGTTATATTAGAATACGTTTTGCACCCGATTACCCTATGCTATGTTTATAAATATAAAATAGTAAAACGACTACATTAGCATTAGCAACAAAAAACTTGATTCACACAGTTGTTGGCAACTTTGATGCACGCTCATCCTAGCCAGTTCAGATGAATACTATTGCAACAGCATGACGAATACCTTAGCCTGACTCTGCAGATACCAATGTTTGCAAAAGTCAAAATGATTCCATGCACAGGTACTATAACTGGTCGTATTTTTTACAGTTCAATTAACATGCAGGTTAGTATAAGGTCAGCAGCGTTACTGTTTTGCATTTTGTAAAAATTAAAATCGCCCTAATGAGATAGCAAAAAACTTTATTCGTCATTAAACAGTTTAACAGTATAAATTACACCAAATCACACATGTAGCAATCATCGAAATTAGTAGTACGACACTAACTTCACCCAGATCTAAACTGCACAGTAAAGATTTAAAGTAAATCAAGTCAACAGACGCTTGCGAATCAGCGAATTCGCTCTACTCGACTGACGGTGGCAAGTGATCGGCAGTGATTTTTTAGGTGCTATATCAAAAATATATATAAAATAAAAACGCCTGCCCGACGAAGCATCCTTTATATTTTACGTTATATTCATACTTTATATTTTTATTGCACGTTGTGCTACTTTTTTAAAATATAAAATGATGAAATTTTGCACAACGCAACTAACAAACCCTATTCACCCCTATACAAGAGTAGTTTCGGGCACTTTTGTTTATCGTTCAATTGTTGTCAAGACCTTTTAACCTGCGCTGTGTATATAAATATAGAATAGCGGAAACGATACTCCGTGGTATATTTATAGGTTAATTTTGTTTATGGTTTAAATTGTTGTCACGTCCTTTTAACCTGTACAGTGTTTTTAAATACAGAATAGTAGAAACGATCGCTTTACGCAAAACCCAAAGGTAGTCAGTCCTTTATAGTAGTGCAGTTAAGCCAATTTTGCTCATTGTTTAAATTTATGTTGCACTCCTTATATACTCTGTGCTATACTCATAAATATTATGTAAGAACCAAACGTATTTCACCCTTTAAAATAGTGCAGTTGCGCCAATTTTAATTATAGTTGGAGTTTTTCTTGCAATATCTTACCCTGTACAATATTTATAACATAAAAAGGGGAAATTATCCAGAAATTTTTTACAGGGGCACTTTTTTGGTTATTTATGTTATAGTTTACAAGACGTATATAAAACACATGGACTTTTGTAGTACGACAGTAATTTCACCCAGATTCTAAATAACCCACCAAATCACCCATTTATGATGAGACTGAGAAAAAATGAGACTAAAATGAGACCCATTTAAAGTCGCGACTGACGGTGACAAGGGATCAGACATCGATTTTATCTCTGCTATACCCCAGAATGTGGAGCATAAGACAGGATTTACATATTCATCCCGGGGGAGAGGAAGCCGACAAGGCGGATGAGTCATTAACGTGGCAAACCGCGGCCCTGGTCAGGTTACTATAGTCTATGTCGGGTATGGGATTAATCAGCCAGTTATTTGTTTTTGGAAGCATGGACTTGATGTTGGAGGAAGCTGTAACAAACCAGCGGTTACGTGAACCACCCTACGAATCCAAAACTTTTATTTACTTGTTAATGTTGTCATATTTATGCAGCCGAAGGCAGGTTATTTTCTCGTATTTTGTTTTGGATACCGACTGTGCTATATATAAAACAAACCAACAAAATATAATTTTTTTTGCACGCTGTAGTAAAAACATCCGCATCACACGACAAACAAATTTTATCCACCCTCATATGGGTGCAGTTGCGGACAATTTCGTTTAAAAATTTAAATTGTTGTCGAGCCCTTTTAACCTCTACTGGTTTATAAATATAAAATAGTAAAAATAGTTGCATTTTGCAACAACTAAGCATGTTTTAACCATATAATAGTGCAGTTGCGGGCAAAATGGATTATAGTTCAAATTTTTGTAGTACGATTTTACACTCCTTTACATTGGACTACCGCAAACGCGTAACCGCCAAAAAATGCGCAATTTTCGATGACGCCATGGCACATAAAAAAACGGATGCCATAGCCCACAGATATTTTTGAAATAAACAAAAGTAATAGTCTTCCAGCAGAAAATACAATTTTTAACCAATAAAATTTCGAAGCAATTGTTCCAGCTGTTAAAGAGAAAAGCGATTTTTCATAACGATAAGAAAAAAAAAATACCAAGAAGAACAACGAGACCATGAAATAAAACGAGACGTAGATTCACTTCGTAAGAACTTACCGTATGGTAAGAGCATCAGTGTACGTTAAAAATATCAGGGCGGATGAAAACTGGAAAACAGACCAAAACTTTACTATGTCGGAAAGCATGAATTTTCTATTAAATGTTTCAAAACATATACAGAAAAGATATAGAGATATATTGTTTACAAAATATACAAGGTGCTTATCACCTCTTAAAATTTTATAAATTGCTAAGGAAATTTTCCGATATCATGCAATATATAGTTTGTAGGCCCCGACAATTGTATTGAATGAAGTAAAATGAAGCGAACCTAGTTAGGATATATTGAAAACTGACATAACAAAAATTTCACGGAATTTATATACACACTGTATTGTATATTCTCACCAAGAAAAGATAATATTAAAACAATCAAAAAAATAAAACAAGATTTAAATATACGATTCAGGCAAAATAACCTAAATCTGAGAATATGTGACAACAGTTTCAATAACACAGTCTAAAGATTATTAATTGGTTAAAACAATTGTGTTTTCATATTTGTCTAAAAGGAGATGAAAGCTGGTAATTCGTTTCCTAACCGGACAGGAGAGTGTTCTCGGAAAATTTTTTGTTGTTCGCGGGAAGGAAATACGGAAAGATTACTTTATATTTGTGATTTTTTTTTAATTGATAGCGGCGTTTCCCAACCGGGAGCCCGTGGCCCACCAGGGGGACACAGAGCTGTTGTTGGGGCCACAATGCTAGATTTACAACTGATTTTCCTTTTCCCTTTACAAGAAAACTCTCGTTTTTCCTAGTTTCATTTCTTGATAAAGTCATCTCATATAGTGTTTTCAGTTTGTTGATCATGAACTGTTTGAACATAATGGAATTTGGGATCTACCAATCATTATAGCACTATAAATACCCCTGGAATGAGGGGGGGGGGTATGAATGCTGGAAGCATCCTGAGGGGCCACGAGCCATAAAGGTTGGGAACCACTGGTTTATTGAAATATAGAAGGAATGTCAGCAGTGGCTTAACCAATGAGCTATTATGGGAACGATCACGCGAATAAAAACCTCTCGCCACGCCGTTGCTTGTTAATAATGAATTTTAGTTAGAAACAGGAAAGTTGAAAACAAGATAAAGGTTACAGTACATTTATGTATATTCATTCTCTTATTAATACCAATAAGGAATCAAAATTTTCGCCAACCGGATTCATTTTTTGCATTATTTGGAATCGATGAAATATTCCTTCAGCATAATCGCCTGGTTTTAATAGTAAAGTTCTTTTAATAGCAATACATCATTACATCTTCGCCGTGATTACAGTTGTGGGCTCCCCAGCCATTGTGTGCACAATGAAATAGGCTTGGCTCGGTTCCAGTGCAACTTAAATCATCCAGCCATATCTTGCCGGTACCTTGCCCGTATTTTGTAGACGAAACGCCACCATTTACATACCCCAGCATTTTGCAGACGACCTGACAGGGAAATATATCTATTCACTTTATGTCATTACATCCGGACCAGACAGACAAACAGATCAGAAAGACAGGCAGACGAGACATACAGACAAGACAAACTCACCCGACAAACAGAATGCACGCAAGGCAATGCAAACATAAGAATACAGATGAGTTCGAATTCAATTCACCTATGTTACTATATATACTATTGCATTCACCTATGGTGCTATACTGTGCCATGCTGAGCTTATATTGCAGCATATACACAGGGTCGGAAGCTTATATATATGATTTTTATCGGTCCTGTACATTGACACGCACAAAACAATATTTAATCACTATTCACTGTGATTACTGTTGAAATATTTACTTTATTGTATTATGTTTATAATAGTGTTGATGTTGTGGCAATGAATCTCTCTCTCTCAAAATCGTGATGTTTAGAACCATGTTTGAAACAACGAATCCACGGGACAAAATTCTATTCGCGTGATACAATATATATATCTGACCTTTGCATCTTTGCTGTCAAAGTAATCATTGCACACGGTTCCCCAAATTCCTTGATGGTAGATTTCTACTCTTCCTCTGTATGACAGCCCTGAGCCAACCAGTCTCACTACGGATAGCGCAGAAACTGTAAAGAACATGAGAGTCATGTGTAAGTATATAATTTCGACATCTCCTTGCATATACCACGTTTCCTCGAAAATGAAACATCATTTTTTTTCTTTTTTTTTCGAAAATTAATTTCATTTCATTCGAAAATTAACACTAGGGATTATTTTGGGGAAATGTATTTTATTTTATTTATTAAAAAAAAGAAATACGAAGTAAAGACTTAGGAGATTTTCAAAAACGGATAACCATTTACTAATAAATAACACGTCTGTATTTAAAATACTTGCTAAACATATACTTCAATTGTTGTAACAGGTGACAACATCAGATGAGCTTCTTTTACTTATGAGGAGTGAGAGTTACGCACCACCATTGTTCTATCTATATGATGACTATGTTGCCACCCTCACCCTACACCCCCGGAATAGGGGGTGAACACCCCCATCCATAAAATCCCTCCCCCCCTTATTTTCAGGTGTGACACCATACTTTTAATACATGAGGTATATACAAAATGTGTTTGAATATTCAGAAATATTCACATATGTCGGTGCAGATGATCATTCTAATACATAACACATTTTTATGAGTTACAAAAAGTTTTATCACAAAATACAAAATATCTACCCCCCTCTGAAATCAAAAGCTGGGGAACATACTGGTTGTCCGTGTAGTCAGAGTTGAATCTCTTGTCACCTGACTTATCTCTGGGAGAAGACTTCCTTATTTCTGGGCGTGTGTAATTATTTACCACCATAACGCCACACTAATAACCGAATAGCGTAAGTCATTTTTAGCAGTTTTGAAAACGAAAAAAACTTCCTAATGATATTGCTATGCCATTGAGAGTCAATAATTTTCCATAGTTCGATTTTTTGATCGTAGCCGGATTTAAGTTAATTTGTATGACGCAGTCATGTGACGTCATAATGACGCACTGTGACTTAGGCAGAAATGTGTATATGACTTGGGACATACGCAATTTTGCAACTTGACTATACCAGTCCTGAAAACCAAACAATTCAAAAACGAATGTTATTCTTAGTATCTACTATATCTAATCCCCAATATAGCTAATCTGTCAATTACATTATTTTTTATGTTTGAAAATATATATTTCCTCAATATAACACGTTCTGCTCACCCACCGAAATAAGACTAAGATTAAATATAAAGAATAAAACAGCAATGTACCCAATATAAAAGCCAACCAAGGTGAATTGGACTCAGACAGTGAATATCACAAGTGCCTCCCCCTCCTATACTGTAGTATAAATTCAAATTTATAAGCGCTAAGCTAGAATCTGAGATGCAAAAACTCGAAAATCCTTCGCAGAGGTTATTTTGCCTTTGTGACGTTACAATAGTTTCGGAATTTTTGAAATAAAATCTGAGTTAACATACAGGTGCGCAGCATCACATTAATACCTATTTTATAAAAAACTCAAAACCGCCAAAAATGACTTACGCAATTCGGTTATTAGCCTGACGATAATTTAATATAGCTCTAGCCATTGCTCATTTAAGAATCTGCTTTACTTCTGAGTGGAATCGGCTACGATTCTCATGCCCAATTCGACAAGTTGATGTATAAATAAATACATGGCCACCTACATACTATTACGGCTAAGTATATGTTGGTCAAGCAGCCAACATCAAAAGCCATGGACTGACTTCACAGGAACACTGAAAAAACGAAATATATCGTGCTACTTCCATCTACCATTCCTGAAAATTTGAAAGCGGTTTGGTCCTCACCTTTCTGAGCATACGCCTATTCTTTTTTGGCGCTCTTGTAGTATGTGTACCAAGATGTCGCACAACCTGAACCCTAACCCGGTACACATACCATGTTCAGGTTGTGCGCCATCTTGGTACACATACTTCTGGACCTCCTATTTTTACCATAGCAGGGTTCAGTATAAACTATCTATATCCAACGTACTATACCTTTCCTATCCAATGTATTCAAAGACGAATCCTGACGAGCGTCTGTGCGAGTGGTTGAGCTTTGTAAGTTGAATAGTTTTGATACATCTGGAAGTATACAAAAGGGTTGCAGCCGGGTTGTTGTACTGTAATTTATTAGATCAGAAACCCCGATATTACAGATTTGGTATTTGAGGCTTGTGGTTTTACCCATATTTTTTCAATTTTCCTTCAAATAAACGTATGCTTAAAGTTTTGTTTTCGAATGAATTCAAATTAAGTAGTTATTCAGTCAATCAATTGTAGATTCTGGAGAAACACTGCCTACATTTTTCATTTTTTCAATATTCAATACAACGCCACTGAGAACCATGAACGAAAAAGTTATCGAAAAGGATATTTTCACCCACGATGGTTTATGAACGGAGTCCCATAACGCTAATTTGGATGTCCGTTTGGCCAGACATAAACAGCATTGAATGAAGAATAAAATAATAGCATATAAAGCATATTATATCGTAACACGTGGATATTCATTTGCAGCGAATGTTAATGTTATGGCCATTTTCATTGAATTGATGGTTAATTAACTTCCTGTTGATTTAAATTTGGATTCCGGCTTCAGCTCTTTACTATCCGGAATTGTATAATTTTGATCAGGTGCATAACCAAGTGGGGGCGAGGTTTCCCCTTTTTAAAATAGAGAAACATCGTTTTCAGCATCATACATAGCAATTTTTCGTAGTTCGAAACGCTTTCTAGACTGAGGAATCTTGAAAGCCAAAGTACTCGCTAGCGCAAGCTGTTACATAGGGTATAACTCTGCGATTTGACTTCACAGAAAGATTAGTGAACTTAGTACTGCGTACAAAGTTACGACTTCGGGTAATTTAAATTCGACTGCGACAAAAACATGCCAAATATCAACTCGCGATTTCAAGGCTCTGACACATATCTTACCGCTCTTAGTCCGAATAAAAGACTGTCGCATGATTTCGGTCTCGTTGCGCAGGACCCCCATCTCTTCAGCTAGTTTTGTGTTGTTCAAGTAAAGTGTGTTCATTTCTGCAATAAAAATGAAATAGGTTAGGACTGTGGTTACCATCTGTTGGTCCGTAAAGCTAAATTCTGTCCGCGAAAAATATTGTTGTTTTTCTGTCGTCTCAATCATTTCTACCCAAGCCAAAGTTGCGTATATTACGAAATTTTTCTTCCGCCGTCATACTGCTGTTTGATAAGTGGCCCGGCGACATTTTGGTGTCCAGTAATCGCACTTTTTGCTTATTCGGTTCCGATTCATCCCGAAAGCGCTTCGTCAAATCTCGCGAGATTCAGAAACCTAAAGATCGGCACACGTTTGTTTTTTTTGGGTTCTGCATGCTTTTCCTGCTTAAACAAAGAAATATTTATAACCTTTTTTTGGATAGTCATATTAAACCAGAAAACAGTAAAGAACAGTATAATATTCCAGGGTTTTGCCTTGACATCCAGTAACATATATATGAACTTGTTGCGACTCTGCAAGGGGCAAGGGTAAATTTGTATCTAACTTACTAACAACAAATTCCCTCACTTCTGGAAACCACACGGAACTTTTTTTAAAAACAAGACCGGGTTACTGATCATCGCTACATTCCAAGAGTGAATTACACCCGATGTCCATCGGTCAGGTATAAAAGCGGGGTTGCCAGACTCCTCATCGGAATAGAGTGGTTCACGTAACCGCTGGCCGGATACGGCTTCCTTTAACACTGAGTCCATGCTTTCGAAAACAAATAACTGGATAGCTAATCCCATACCCGACATGGACTGGTAACCGGACGAGATGGCCGTGGTTCGTCATATAGTTAAGCCGCCTTATCGGCTTTCCTCTTCCCCTGCATAAATATGTAAATCCCATCCTATATTTATTTCTTACATTAGACAAATATGACAATTCCTATTTTTACCTTTCAGCAGCTCACTCCTACTCATGTTCAGGAGTTTTTCGGCCACAGTGAGTTTTTCTATTTTTTTCATTTGATTTTTCTCGAGTGCTGCAACAGAAGTAAAACATCAATTCAAACCCTAGTCCTATCGCTCATAGGAAGGAACAGGGACGATTAGAGTTCCTCAATGTTTCTGCGCATCATTTCTGAGACAATATTGGATGTATAAAGAATCTGGAGTCCCTATTGTGGGGCCCTGTGGATTTCGCGGGACCCAGTCTGGGTGAGGATAAGAATTTTGCATTTGATTACCTCTCCGCTGAGGCAGGCCAACAATAAAATAAACGTTGAAAACCGTTGGTCCAACTCACAGGTTCTCAGGTGTGCTGAGAGCTCAGCGAAGTATTCGTTCAATTATCAAAATACTGACTTGGATAAATTTGTAACTGTCCGAACAAGAACGGCCATTTTTAACTACTGAAATTTTGATTTATTAGCTACGGAGAAAAGAAATTTAACAAAAGGATACTGCGCCTATGTAAATCGCATTCTGTAAATGCCTTTCAGATCTTTTGTACAAAACCCCGATAATGCAAAAATGTGACATTTGAGAATAACACCCCCGTCACGTATTAAAATAAAAACGAGAATATCGGTCGGAGACCGGAGACTTATCGATCAGAGGTTAGGGAATCCCCCAAAACAGCGCTCTTACTCCATAGTGACACCGTGTGTCCCATCACTAATTAATTAATAACTCGCTAATTATACGACATAATTTATCGAAAATCAATAGGCTTCTGTTCCGAACTATGATGAATGCACATGCAAAATTTGGAGCAGATTCAATCTTGCTTTCGTGACATATCGCGTGTATCTAACAGACAAACAAACAAACAGACAAATACCTATCAACAAACTTACCGATCTTAAGATCGATGAAAAAACTAGTAAGTATGCAGTTAGGGTTATAAATGATTTAAAAATTTGAATTTAATTTGAAGCGCGATATGCATTCCAAATCCTCATCCTAACTGGATAAATATTTTTATATAATTATTTTTATTTTGGTAGTCGGCGGAGGTGTTTTGGCAGGGGCTTTGTACAACGGATCATGCCTTTTGTGAGAATTAAGAAAAACACCCCAAAATTAAAATAAAAAAAAGTAAATATGCAGTTAGGGTTGAAAATGATTTGAAAAAAATTAAAAAATTTTAATTTTCCTGCGCAATCTGCATTCCTAACCCTCATTCTAACTGGATATTCACTAATTTCCTTATTTTGCGAGTTTGCGGGGGTGTTTTGGCAGGGGCTTGTACATAAGATCATGCTTTTTCTCTTTCTTATCGTCCAACGAGCTATTTATCGCGTTAATACCGATTCTTGTATTTGTCAAAAAGCAAAAAATCTCACCTTCCTGGGTCTGACGTATTTGTTCTTTTTCCTGAAAGGGAATTGAATCGGGTTGAGCATATTTTGATGTCTGTGTCGCTTTTCTAAAACATCGTTAGGATTTGAGGTGTAAGCAGTGCTTTGGAGTTGAAATTTAGGCGATCCAGAAGTATGTGTACCAATATGGAGATAACCAATTTTGTTCGCCTACTTTACATCAAGTTGTGTAAAGGGACTGGAACCTATGAGCAGGGGGTATATTCATTTGGCTAGCACAGACAGTCCCCGAACTCGTAATAGAACTAAAATAAGATAAATCGGTATCAAATTATGATCTAACCATAACCTGGTACACACACTACAGGAATACCCATGTAGGTACATTCAGCATTGTGCTCTTGTGGGACACGTAGTGGACATAGCAATCGTTGTTATGTTGTTTTTGTTCTTGTTGTTCTTTGACACTTTTTGGACACCTAGTGGAAAATCTAAAAGTTCGCTTTTCTCTTTGATTACTGGACCAGTTGCTTTGAAATTTTTAGTGGTTAACGATGAAATTTTTCTCCAGAAAGCTATTACTTTTATTTATTTCAAATCTTTTTGTTAGCTCTGTGAGATTGGTTTTTGTTTGCTATGACGTCACTGAACGTTCTGCGGACATCGGACGCTATTTTGTGTCCGACTGTACTGCGAACAGACGTGTCCATATATTTGGGCGTAGCTCTCTTGGTATTATTTTATTTCAAAATGTTAATTCATACGCGTGACTGTTCAAGAAGTAGGCGGTATACGCATGTCATTATAACAACACCGGGATCGAGTTCAGTCTGTGTTTTTGTTTATTGTAATCGTGGGTGTCGCTATCAAGTCATTCATTCAGTTTATCGTTTTTAATTAGTCGGTTTTATCGCGGGTTCAATTCCCATGCACCTCATTTGTGGTGTATCAAATTGAATATGCAATGCCGAACGGGAAAAACATCGGTCATTCCAAAAATAGTAAGTAACTTGGTTCAAGAGGGTAGGCGCCCAAGATCTCCGCTGATACATGAGGCGGCTCGCACTTCAGTAACCCGTGACCATCCAGGCAAAATTGCAGATACAGCGACAGCGTACTGCAGTGACCGGGATTCGAAACTGCCAGTTCAACTCAGAGCTGCGCATCCCGTCTTTATCATTTTCGTCAGCGGTATACTGAGAGCTAATAATTGATCACAGTCACCAAAATTCCTGAGGCTTCCCCGGTTCATGGATTAACGAGATGAAAACCGCTTGTTCGAAAGAGTATTTGCTTCGCGGGGGGTAGCGATCTCGGAATTTTAGATCCCAAGGTAGTTTGCGAGATAAAGACAACACGTTGTGAAAAAAGTAGTAATTTCTCAACGATCGGCGCAATTTTTCGCTGATGCCATGGAAACGGAACATCATTCCAGGCTTTGGTGAAACGAACATAACTAGAGTGATAGCACCGAGTTCTATCTAAAAGTTTAGTTTCGTAACTACTTGTTTTTGTCGAGAGTATAGCTTTTATAATGTATAGAAAAATAATCAGCTAATATATTTAGAAATAAATAAATATTTTAGATTATATTGAGACGCTACAGTTTCGACACACAGACGGACAGAGTGACCGAGAATAAGAGTCTACTTTAGCGGAGATCCAATAAAACTGTAAAATTAAGACAAAAAGCGTAATAAAACGGTTGAACCACTTAAACTCAAATTGAAACAGAGAGCTTGCTTCTTGCGGTTGAAATGTGTGCGGTCCCAGGAGTTGAAAGTCGAATGTCTCATTACTTAAGAGCCCGAATATCAAAACGTGACCAGACCGTCACTTAACCAATCGACTGCCGATGCTACCTAAACCTAGGTGTCGCTTTTAAGCTAAGGCCCTACCGGTACCGACGCGAGACCTTCATGTGCAATATATATATATATGTACGTGTCCCGAAAATTCGCCGTAGGAAGTCTCGCTGCAGCAAATTTCGCTGCAAAGACCTAACTGTTTTCAACACAAATACTTGTTTTACAGCAAAATGCTCACGCGGCGAGATTTCCTATGCCGCGAAATTTCCTGCGGCGAATTTTTCTAGTACCATATATGTATATTTAGCATTGTTCTCTTGTTATTATTTTATTTCAAAATAGTAATTCACTCGCGTGACTGTTCAAGAAGTAGGCGGTATATGCATGTCATTATAACAACAACGTGATCACGCTCAGTCTGTGTTTTTGTTTATTGTAATCGTGGGTGTCGCTGTCAAGTCATACATTCAGTTTATTGATTTTAATGAGGCGTTTTTATATCTTCGCCCTGAACAAGGCTCTACACAAGAATACACTGTTACAGGCTTAATGGTGATTCCACATATAATCACAAAAGGGAGGGTTTTACACGTTAGCGATTAGCGTTGGCCCGATAAGTGAGTTTTGCGTCAAAATCTTCGTTCCCATAAATAAATTCAGCGCATTTGGGAATTTATTAATAAAAACCGTATTTTTTAAGTCGACAACACGGTCAAAACTGCGGGTCAAAAACTGCATTTTAAAATACTGTAAGATTATTTGAATTGAAAATTCACACCCTCGCCCCCGTCACACCAGTAGATACACGATATCAAATATAACTTGTAAATATCCTCCTGATGAGATAGAAAACTTACTTGAAATAAGAATAGGAATGTCCCGGCGGTAAAGACCAGATTTATGATTATCGCAACGTAGATAACAGCGACTGTGTTATTGAAGTTGGTTGGCTGGAGAAGGGTTGCTGACGTTGGCCGTTTCCTGTATATTAGGCTGTGCAGTGCTCACTTTACGTGCTGAAAAAAAGTGGGAACACTTAAAATTGGAGTGAATAATAATAGCTTTTTAAAGGGAAATTTTACTGTAACAATGCGTGAGGTTCGATGAAGACATTCTATACCTAACACGGGCAAACTACGACCCGCGGGCTAAATCCGGCTCGCTGGGTAATTCAATCTGGCCTTCTGATGATGCCACAACCAAACTAAAACTAAATTTTAATTTCTTAGGTAAAAATAACTCATGGAATTTGAGATTGCGATTAAATTAGTTTTGGCACGAGGCTTATTGTTTTCCACTTTTGCTTTTGTAAAACTGTAAATATTGTTCATGAAATGTAACTTTTTCCTTCATACTTACATGGCCCGCCAGTCTAGGTTAGCAAAATTTGGGGCCCCTGGTCCAAAAACCTTCCGCACCCCTATTCTATACCTAAGAACATAGAGCTGCGTGAGAAAAACCAAGGGGCCGCGCGAAATATTCGTTTACGAATTAAAATAATGATTGGCTAATTTTGTACTTGTCCGAAGTAGCAATAACGGAAATAATAATATATGACAACAGTAGTATAGAAATGTGGCAACAAGGCGGCAATTGAAATTTTATCTAAAGCAGGGTCGGCCAACCTTTTTGGTCGAAGGGCCACATTTAGTTTACTAATAATTGCGCGGGCCATTTAACATGGTAACTATGTTCTAGTTTTGCTACACTGACTAAAAGTTAATGAAAAAACAAACAAAACCCTCGCACCAAACTTTCTCAATAATAAGAACAATAAAAAAACGAAGATACACTAAAGTCAACAAAGTTTTTCCCACAAGTAGACATTTTAGTGTGAAGTTTGACAGTTTTTCGCTAACAAGTTTGTCAATATTTGCTGAAAAGGACGATGTAGCAATGCGAAGCGAATTTTCCATATGACTGTCAGACATTAGTGCTCTCACAGGGGATTTAACATGGTTCATCTGTGGACAAACTTGCTTGTACGAGTACGTGCCGCCAAATTATGAGGTCATTATAACTGCCATTCTGCCCAAGTGTGTGAGCTACTATTTATGCATCGATATCTTCCAGTTGGTGATGACACTCATGGCTCGTTTGAAAGGGCTAGCAGAGCGCATTTCAGGAAAATGAACAATTTGTTTGTATCAAATCTTCATATTAACTACATCACTCGAAAAATAAAAGTTTCACTCAATTTTTTTTTTATTTAATTTCGAAAATACAGCGCTGGCCACTCTAAACTCAGCAGCTTTTGTTTCCACATAAATCAGTATAGACTATAGAGACAATACTAAATTTAAGATCAATTATTGTTTTGGGCATTAAGAGTCTTCGAGAACAGCAAAAAATTAGTTCGCGGGCGCATTAGTTCGCATTGTTCGAACAGCTTGAGAGTTTCCTTTATAATTGGTCGAGGGTACTCAAGCGTGTTAGAAAAGGCGGGGTTAACAAGGCCAATCTTTTTGCAGTGAAAGTGACGAGGTCACGCGTCGGTGATGTGGAGGGATTTGTTTATCCAAAACAATGGACGGAGATCGTGCAAATAGGATTTTATCGAGTACATATTACACGACACATTGTAGGCGTAAAGTACTGCAATAGCGCGAATACAATATCAGGGATAAATCTTATTTCAATAAAGCCATAACGCACGTTATGAAATGTTCAAGTTGAAACGGCCTTGCGCACGTTTGTCACGAAATTGCCTTATTCAATGCTCTTGCAACTCGCAAAGTGCGTTACCTTTCACACGGTATTTCCAGGATGTCGCGTCAACGTTGGAACGCATGTTGTACTGACGTACCTGTCGTATTACCACGTTATTTGGATCGAAGCCGGACCGGAAAAATCAATGCATAGGCAACCATGTGCGATACGCTAATAAATGTGGTTTCGCTCAGCTAGAAATGTGTAAAATGCGGGGTTCGAATTTTTGGGTGTAGTTTTGAAGGTTTTTTCTATAAACACGAAAAACACGAATGGTAATGGTAATCAAAATTACGTGTTTGGTTTTAATCATCCCGAATAGGAATCCTAGCAAAAATCAAGTATTAAAGAGTTACCACGATTTGAAAAATCAGGTCATTCGGTGTTGAAATAATGGGCTTTATCTCAATAATATGAATAAATATATTGCCGATTTTGATAGAAACGATGGACAGGTATTTTGATATTACTCAGTAAAGACATTTTGCTTATAATAAGGTTAGTACTGGTCCAATGTCGTCGATACCTTATGTTTTAAAAGCGGATGAAATGAATGGGTTGATTATAGATAGTTAGGAATCGAAAATTTGCCTTTATTTTATTTTCCAGTAATTTCTGAACTCTATATATTCGGACTTTATTCTCGGGAGAAAAATATCACATTTTTTCAAGATTTCAAATGGCGACAAAACGCGTCACCTGGCTAATATAGTACATTATAGGTGCTGCAGCTCAATGATTTTGTCAATGTATTAATTTCCTGTTAAATTATGGTTGGTGCCCATAATTAGGTACCTGGTTGGGCTTGATATGATTGATTTATTTGCTTAGAACTGGTCTTTTTCAACATCGGGGGAAGCCAAATGTATAACCAAAATCTGTAATTGAATATATAACATGAAGGCCATAATTAACTTGTGCCTAAGCTTTTTTAATATTATGAAATATTGTAATTAGAAAGATCTCTTCCGTTACGACCAAACAATACACAGTTTCAGACCAATTGGTTCCATAATTGTGAGTAGCGGCTGTGTCCAAAGTGTATAAGTTCTTGATAAGAAGTTAGAGCTCTCGGATTAGAGATCTGCTAGTCAGCAGACACTCCATAAAAGCAATTCCGAACGCAAATCCCCGTATTATCGTACATATAGCGGCTTGACAATTTTTACGAGTCAGTATAGGAATCACGAGCATAAATTTTGGACAAACCGATACAAGAAACAATCAAGAATAAAAAGCAATCTGTTGTACGCTCCGAATGATAACATTATTCAACCATAGGATATAAAGCGACCAAGTTCGTACCGTAGTCAAGTCGAATCTTAATTATAAAAAGCAAATTCCTTGGACTAAAGTTCATTATAAACAACCCAAGTTCAACTTGTTTTTCCTACACCGCGTTAACTTGGATCTACAGAGTGACCTAAAATAGAACCCATTGATTTCCTGATTACTTCTACGAAAATTTATTTACCACTTGAATTTCTGTTTATGTATAATTGTACCAAAACGTTTCAATAATTTAGGAACAAAGTGTTTTCTCTATAATGTTTTCGAAATGATCTGGGTTATGCATAGCTCTCAGTAGGTTGTAGGTCTATGCCAAATTTTATATCAATACTCCATTTTATTTTCCTTCAGCAAAATTTGACCAATGTGATGTAAGATGCATCTTTATTCTGCTAAGAGAAAGTTACGAAATTTTTCGTGTTAAATTGGAATGAAGAGGAGACGGGAATGAGAATATTATGCATTAGGATCGCAACATTGCATTCACAGTTGACTATTGGTTTCGCGTGCTCAGCATTTGGGCTTGTTATCAGCCAATCATTACTTTACGTGAGGGTTTGAATATAATTGAATTTGTGTGATAGGATTGTTGGTAGCTTCCTATGGCGACTGTCTATCAGTGTTGAACAAGCTCGGGTCATTGGCTACACTTGAGTTGGACTCAAATCACCATTTATCAAAGACTTACAATGTCTCGAGTGGCAACTTTCACAATTAAAATTCTGTAGTCTGAATCGCTCAACCAAAAGTTTATTACTGCAAGTCCTTTTTGGTTGCGCATAAAAACGAGAGAAAACAAAAAAATAATAATTGAAATAAAATGAAGTTTCGTTCGAGAAAAAACATCGGACATAAAAAAATATATATTTGAGAGATTTTTGACGCTTCAAAAAAATAAGTCTCGTTGCGGGAATCAATATTCAAAAAAAAAAAAGTTTTGAAAAAAAGTCTCAGAGATATTTTAGCAGTTTTGTTCAGTCGAGAATGTGTAATCAATGAATCGCGCGGTGTAATCGTTGGCCATCTGTGATATATTGTCGGTATCAAAAGACAAAGAATTTTTTTTTTTTTTCAGTTGGAAACGTCAAATACCCGTGCGAGTCGAGACAATCTCATTTTACCGAAAATTTTCGTTCAACAGCAGTCGAAAAATACTTAACCTCTCGCAGTCTGTGATAGCAATACTAGAAAATGCGGCGCTCCAGAAGTATGGGTACCAATATGGAGGTAACTAACTTTGTTTGCCTACTTTCAAGTTGTGTGAAAGGACTGAAACCCATGGGCGGGGGTATATTCACTTGGCTAAAACAGACAGTCCCGAACTCGTAATAGAATAAGGAAAATCAGAATAAAATTATGGCCTAACCCTAACCTGGTACACATACTACAGGAATACCGAAATACTGTAATTAGGACGAAGTGCTATCGGTTTGAGATAGTATACCAATATTATTCAATCTAGAGGAGTCAGTTAACATAGTATCCGTTGTATTTTTTGACGAGCTTAGACTTTTGCTCCGAGCAAGGCTGTACATAGGTCGCCTCTATAGATAACATCTAGATGTCCCGTTCTCAACCAGAGGGCTATCGCCCACAAAACCTATAAATTAGGTCAACTTTAATTGAAATTAATGTGGCTGCTGCTTTTTGGATTTGGGTGGTAATTTTCATTTTAATTATTAATGTAGAAGTATCTATCTAGATGAGAGAGTTTTTTATTTTTCTCGTAGTTTTTCCCTTTCTTGAGAAAGTTATTGAGTCACAAAATTTTTTGTGCAACAAAAGTGGGCCACGAGGGAGTAAATGTTGAAAACAACTGATCTAGATACTATCTATCAGGTTACAGTTGGGTGTACGGTTTGAACTGAATATAAATATCCTTGGGTGCGAACATAGCTCAGACATATAAGTTAACAGTTCTAAGAAAATTCGCCGCAGGAAATTTCGCCACATAGGAAAAATCGACGCAT